CAGATTGGGAAAGAATATTCGGCATTGACGTATCCAACAAGGGACTTATCTCTAGAATTTATAGAAAACTCCAACACCTCAATAATAAAAAGACAAATAATCCAATTAAAAAATGGGCAGAAGACATGAATAGACACTTCACGAAGGAGGATATTCAGGCAGCCAACAAACATATGAAGAAATGCTCATGATCATCAGCCATTAGAGAGATGCAAATGAAAACAACAATGAGATACCATCATGCCCCAGAGCACCAGTAGCAAAGTTCAACAAGACAGAAAACAACAAATGCTGGCAAGGATGCAGAGAGACTGGGAGTCTCATACACTGCTGGTGGGACTGTAAAATGGTCCGACCACTGTGGAAAGCAGTATGTTGATTCCTTAAAAAGTTGGAAATAGAAATTCCATTTGATCCAGCCATTCCATTACTACGTATATATTCTAAAGAAGTGAGGGCCATGACAAGAACAGACATATGCACACCCATGTTCATCACAACACTGTTTATAATAGCCAAAAGATAGAAACAACCTAGGTGTTCATCAACTGAGGTATGGATAACCAAACTATGGTACATACACACAATGGTATACTATGCAACCCTAAATACTAATATAGAATCTGCAAAACATCACATAACATGGATGAACTTGGAGGACATTATGCTGAGTGAAATATGTCAATCCCCAAAGGACAAATATTGTATCAGTCCATTATTATAAAAGTGAAGGAACACTTTATATATGGAAGGAAATTTTCTTTGTTGGTTACCAGGGGTAGGAGGGTAGGGTAGGGAACACTGTTAGATAGGTAGAGATAATTATTGATTTGGGTGAAGAGAAGGGCAATGTATCAAATGTGAGTGACCAACATGATGGCACTGAAGAAGACGAAGACAGAGAAGGGTACATGGCAGGTGCAGACAACACAGATGAACCCTTTTGCACATACAGTACTGCGTTGTCAGTGAAAGCATACACGGGTATATAGGGGTGGAGAGGCTGAACTATTAGGTATGTCTATGCAGCAGGGAGTGTACCCAAGACCACATATAGGTTTGGCAGACAATAGTTCTACAAGTTTATTTTTATGTTTTGTAAGAATTCCCAGGGGTATAGTAGAGCTGACAAGAGACAAGGTTGTAGTCACTTCTTGGTCACAGACAGCTACCCAGTGGGAGCAACTAGTTGAACCTGTAGGCTCGGGACCATAGTCACAGGGGACATCAAGCTCAACTGGCATAACATACTACACAAAACACTGTTCCACCTCCTACTTTGGCGATTATTGACTGGGATCTTAAAAGCTTGCAAGCAGTCATCTAGATGCAACAACAGGTCTCTCCTCATCTAGAGCAAAGAATGAAGAAAATCAATGATTCACGGAAACAATTAGTCCTCATGACTGTATACCATGCGAACCTCAGCCTATATGACTATGAGACCAGAAGAACTACATGGTGCGCCGGCTACTACTGTCAACCACTTGGAGGAGGATCTATGGAGGAGATCCTGGATAGTGAGGGAGAACAATGTAGAACAAAACTCAAAATCATTTGGAAA